ACACCTGTCTTTTCAAACCAAGACAAGGTGGTTTCCTACAGCCTACTATTTGCCTCTCGACATCCCCCAACTGATCCACCACCTTAACAAGTGAAGGTGAAATGCTGAACATAAAGTTTTATTTCATTCTTTCTACATCTCACTTGATTTCCTCTAGTGACAACATCATCCTATGTTACTATGTATTCAGCTTGTTATCAACCATAGCTCTAAATTGCTTTCTGTTTCAGAACTAACCTGAGTATCTTTGCACAGTATGGTGCTGGGTCAGAATGTTACTGCCCTGACGGCTGCCGATGTCCTGTGCCCCTGCAGTCTGAAATACAGGTGTTCACACCCACTAACATTCAAGCTAATTACTGTGATGATAAAAGAAAGTATTCAGAAGTCTCAGGGCCAGGAGAGGAATGTTATGAGCAAGTAATATGACCTGCAAAGCACCAGGCATGACATTCCACCTAGTAAATTCTGGATAAAATATGTGACCTGTCTTCTGAGCTGCAGGAAAGATTTATTTCAGGAAAACAGGCACAACCACAACAGTGTTACTCCCTCTTTTAAAAACAAAACTTCCATTGTCCCTTCCTTTTTTTCAAGGGGAAAGCTCTCACCCACACCTCTTAATTACAGCACTGACTTGGATTTGACAAGAATCATTCAGCTCATAACTCTTGTGCTCTGCTGCAGTCTGAATCAATTGGACATTTATGTATAAAACTAGCCTCAGTAGAGAACTCACCATCAGGCAATCTAACACTATTAAGCAAGATTATCAGCTGATGTAAATTGGCTGCTGGTGCCTATTTACCGAAACAGAGGACGTAGATCATTAAATACAAATGCTAGATAGTCTTTTGTGTGCTTGCATGCAGTTTCCAAAGTTCCCGCATTTTTTTCTGCAATACATAGTGTCATAGAATTACGCGAAGAGAAAGCAAACAAGCCTAAACAGTGAGGTAGCTGCCCCTGAATTTCTTGAACTGCTGTATGAACTCAGATAATTCTGCCAATGAATAATAAAGGACAGAACTAAGTTCCTGAAGGTCATTGCACCCTGACAAGCCAATCCTTGGAAGGAAGGAAGGTATCTGTATTATTACACAGATGTTACTCCTTTCTCATTCATCTGTGCAAAACAAACAATTCCAAATGACAGAGCAATGCAAAAACTGTTTTTCTCTTGAGTTGACAGACTTGAAGACTTATGATGAGGGGAGAGAATTCTAAAGTAGCCAAGGAGGGAAACTGTTTTTAACACCAGGAACTGGCATCTTCAAGACTCTGTTTTAAGGCAAAGAGCATCACAAAATCAGCTGCAACTTTTTCATTTGGACAGCAGAGAAAGACTTGACCATATTTTCAGGACTCCTGTCTGTATCATTACAGTTTTGTCTACCTTCTATTTCCAACTTTAAAAGAAGATACACAGGCCCTTCTACCAGAAGATCCCTTCCAGACATATCAAAAGCATCATCATCTCCCTCAGACACTCACTGTCTTCCATGGCCACACATTGTCTGTTCTGTGTGGGAATTACAAGATTGTTCTACAGCCTCAGTTCAGCTTGGATGTACCCTTCAGAAGAGCTGCATTGCACTTTTGTTGTAAAGGATCACATTTTTCAAGTGTTCAAGATGCTGTGGCTTCCCATCATTTCCATAGTGGGGTGGCGATTCACCATCACTTCCAGTATGAGCTTTACTATCTGATTCTAGAAATATAACCTTTCTTAAGCTCACATACAAATGAAAATTCCAGTTTCCATTTTGTAAAAGCAGAAAGTTACTGAAAACTGCTATGGAGTCATGGAAAATAGGAACTCCCTCCAGCTGGAAGACAAGATTAACCACAGTCAATCCTTAACTACAGTCAGTCTTAGCTGACATTTGTCTGATGTGTTCTCAGAGACAGCCAAAGTCAGAGGCTTCACACATTTCCACATGTAAATTACTCAGTTATTCTACACAGGCAACCTCAGTCTGCATTCCTCCCATTTACTTCTATTTCCTACCAATCATGGAAAGGGAGTACATACATCCCTTCCTTTTTTTACCATCTCTTGTGGCTTTCAAAAATGCCTCTTTATGGTCCCTTCTCTTCAGGCAATCCTAACTCTTTAATCTTTCCTTGCAGTTATTCCAGAGCTTTGAACATCTTGCCCATGGGCATTCCTTGGATAAGCTCTGCTACCTTTAACAGTTACACATATGTAACATCTTTGTTAGCTACACGAAAGTCCAGGTACTTTGCACATTGTTGCTTAAGACCTTAAACACACACCATTAAAGGGAATTTAGATATTGCTTCCTTTCCAGAGCACTTTCAAAATGAAGGTAGTTAGGAAGGTAACACTGAATCCACTTCAGATGAGGCAATTCAGGAGAACTTAACAGAAAACAAATGCCTAAACCTGGTTTTACCATGGGGAATGATAAGGCTTCAGGCTCATGGTGTGCCTTCAAACAGCACTGGTCCTACAATGCTTACTCCGCTCCTTGGGACACAATCCTACAAGCAGGAAATCTGCAGTCAGGGCACTGCACAAAGCATGACAGGAGACATGCAGTTCAAATTTTTTCTCTGTGTGTTATGTCATGGTAATGGCAATGAAGTGTGTTAAATGCTGCCCAAGATGACAGAACAAAGGATGAACCAACACCTTGAGTCAAATTAGACTTTCCTTCTTTTAATCAGTGTTAAATATAAACTTGTATCTTCTGAAAATAAAATATTTTAACCTGAAGAATAACTTACAGGTAAAATCAACTATTTAAGACATCATCCCTTGCATGGATATGCATTTTTTTCCATTAGTCATTCCATCTACAAATACAAAGTCAAAAATTTGACATGGTTATTATTTTCTGATAGTACCTTTTCTTTCACTCTTAAACATCTATCACATTCAAAAAACTTACAGGCTTATTGTACATTATTAAACAAGTTCACGACACAGAGTTCTGAACACAAAAACATAAGGGCATTGGCTTTTTCATTTTAAGGAAAAAATATAAAAAATTCTACCTGAGAAATTATCCCTTATGACGTAATGTTTACTTTACTGAGTAAATGGCATCAGCAGGATTTTCTATCTCTCTCTTCTTAATTAGGCAAAGCTAGCACAGTTACCATACCAACTGAAGAGCCAGCCTGACAAGTTATTGCCAGAAGGTGAGTAATTTACTCCAGTGCTTGAGGGGCAGGACACCACTTTAACTGAGAGGATTGGCAAGAAAAAGCATGCAGCAACACTCCAGGACAAAAACATACCAGAGTGTACCTGGAATGACACAGTAGTAAAACTGCCACATGGCAGTGGCTATTTCATCTCTCCGGAACTGTACACAGTTGAATACACAGCCAAAAACTACAGATCAACAGAATGCAAACCACAGACTCAACCTACCTCTGTCCAGTGGAAGGTGGAAAAGCTGTCACCCCTAGATAGTCTTTCTGCTTCAGCAAGGAAAGAATGGATACAGATTTGTTGCAAGTAAACATGAGCTCCATTCAGTACCTTGACACAGGTTCATAAGTACTCCTGAGTCTGTACTGTATATTACAGCTGTAAGTCACTAGCAGCTCTAGCGCCCTTGTCTTCCCTGCACAGCAGGACTGGAACAAACTTGGACACACACACTCATACAGAAGCTATTATCCCTCTCCAAAATACTGAAGAAAGCTTACTTCATTGACCAAAAGCACAAGCAGAAGCAGGAGGAGACGGTTGTCAGGCTTCCACCTTCTTCCCATTCAAAGCCTAAAGTTACACCAATGCTTAACTTGCAATTATGCTACTGCAGATTTGATGGAACAGTTGGTATTTGTACATGCTTCTGCTTACACTTAGAGAAAAGAGCTGTGATTCTCTGAGACCTCTGTTCTGTGAGCCTGTGTTAAACAAAAAGCTATCAATACCCCCATTTCTACCTGTAAGAAAGCAGGCATAGCTACTATTTTCTAAAATCTAGTCCAAAATTTTACATGGAGAACACACTACTTGGGACATCAAAACCAGAATATTTATTTTTTCCATGGGAAAGACATCCCTGCAGCATAAACCTTCATGTTCTTAAAAAAGAGAAATAAAACCCAGATAACATTCCTTGTCATAATTGCATGCAGTGATTAGTTCACAAAAACAACTGTTACTGGAAAATGTCCAATATGGATAGTTTCTTCTTCCAGTCATTTACTATTACACCACTACCGAATACCTCCTACATGTAAAGCTGCTGGGTCACACGGGTTCTGTGTAATAGAAACATTCCACTCCCAGGAGCAACCTGTTGCATATCGCAGGGATATAGCAGTCTCAAATCAAGCACATTTGAGGTACTCATAACTCTGGTGTTTAAAAGCTGAATATGCACAGGATCTCCTCTGAAAAAAGAGGAACTTTCTGTGATTTTTCCATCCCGTCCCTCTCTTGAGAAGTAAACAGTCCCAGAATATTTTGACGATCCCAGGAAAAGTCTAAGCCACCTAGCCCCCATCTACCTTTAAATAGTCAACTGCACATAAGTTTACTGCAACATTTCTTCTCTATTCCCTTTGCACAGCTGTTTTTTCAGCTTCCCTTCTCTTCAGTTGCCTTTAATCTTTTCCTACCTGGAAAATGCATAATGATGGTGACAAAAAAAACCTGTTAAGCAGAAAAAAAGTAAATGTCTCCTTAGGAAACAGATGAGAAGTTATAAAAGGAACAGATCTTGATGTCTTTGGGAAATAGATTACAAACTGCCAGTTTCAAGGATAGCAGGCATGCTCTATTAGCAGTCAGGTGGTCAGTAGATTTGAATGACATCATCCCATTCATCAACAGGCCAGACACCATTGTACTGCACATTGGATGGCGAGCTCTTCCAGTCCCACATCTTCACAGGAATCTTCCAGTCAGGGCCATAGTTGGCTTCAACATACTGAAGGGTTTCACAGGGCACGTGTACCTTCAGTTCCACAAATTCAGTCCAACACAGAGTAAACTTTGGAAAGAGATACCTGTGTCACAACAAAAGAACACAGTCACTGGCAGAAGACTGAAATACATCTCTAAATAAGTTCGTGGAAAAAGCAAGCGAGTGGCCATGTTACATTTATAACAATTTTTTTCTTATTTCATAACTTCCTATCTATGAAATATTATTTACATACTGGACAAGGGTGTTATCAACAGTAACTGGTTAACATTGGCCACATGTTCTTAGGAAGGAGCACTTCTAATTCTTTTGCTGCTTATTCCCGTATCATTCTGCCACCTACAGGAAATCACTTAGTCCCTGTCTCTACTTTTCCACTTACAAACTGGATTTAACAGTCACCTCATTTAGAAGGGTGGCAAGAGGGTGACACAGGTGATTTGGAAGGGGAGCTTTTGATAAATGTAGCATTAAATACTTTATTATGAGTCAGGCCTTTTCTAAAAACAAGTTTTTACCTTTCTTCAATCTTACCAAACAAAGCTTGCAATTCCCCTTCAGTCTCATGTTTAAACATGGTGACAGACTTGGAGCAGCTGCAGAGAATTAAGACACAGCAGCCACCCTGTAGCTTCTGAAACCTTCTCAGCCCATTCAATTTTTAAAAATAATTTGTTCTACCAAATTGACCTTGTTCTGTACCTGTTGTTTTCTGTAGAAGGGCCAACATAAACCCTATCTGTAATTATGCTTACATCAGTGGAAGTTCACAGGTAAATTTCACAGTTTGATCAAAATGACATCCTATAGGAGCACAGAGTCAGAGTCGATGTGTTAAACAAGTAAATACCAAAGCCTAGTAATATTCCAGCAGAGGATCTCTTCTATTTCAGAAGCTGTGAAGTCTTCCACAGAAAAAAGGTGACCTTAAAATTAATTTTCACTTGGACTTTTGAAAAAAGGTTAAAAAGATATATGCATTTGCATGAACTAGAAATCCCATATGTTCCTTTAAGGGTAAAGTTAATTTTATTTCTAAGTTCTGAACGAATGCTCATATCGTATCAGAAAACCACCTTGCTTTTACGCCTTAAATGGAGGGAGAGGAAAAAAGTGATCAGGCACTTTTGGATATACATCCAAGGACTACTCATTAGCTCTAAACTAAACTAAAAAGCAAAAGACATGCCAGCTACCAAAGGGAAAACAAGGTAAACAAACTTTACTAGTGGATCTATAATGATCAAATAGCTATTTAGCTGTTATTAACCCAGAAAATCACTCATCTCTCAGAACTGCAGTGGGTGTGCTTATGCAAAAGCTATGAGCAAACCACTGAAATACTATATTCTCCAGAGAGTGAACTCTGACTAATAACTCTAAGGAGAACAAACGGGTATTTAAAAAAAAACTAATCTGCAAATTAAAAAGTCAGTTGGAAATTTCACCAAAAGAATTACTTAACTGTTATTAAAATCAAATGTTCGCATTCACTGACAAAAAATGCAGCTTTCAGTGATGCTTAACACTACTGGAATCCTTGCTCATCATTTGCTCTTCCAAGTGACTGGGATAAAGCTATGTACTCTTGTACATATGCACTGCTCATCATTTTCTATCCCAATTTTGGTATTACCAGTCTTTGGACAAAAAAGCACTGAAAAGATTCTATGCTTACACAAAGTCCTCCAGAATTAACTCATTTTAAGGATTAAAGCATATAGTATAGATTTGATTCACGTTTTTGTAAATAATTCTCTGCTCAAGAATGCAACTGTCCAGCATTACTTTTGTAAACAAACAGGAGGTCTCAATTGCTGTAACTCCAAGACAAGGAGGATGTACATGCTTGCATGTTTCTGCAATGTTGAGGAAGAGTGCATGAAAACACAAACCATTGACAGACTTCTAAGGTTTAGAAACCAACTCCCCAAGGAAGCAGAGACTAAAGATGACTAACAGAAAAATATTTTAGAGACTAAATGAGAAATACTTTCATACTTTTATTTAGCAAGATGTATAGAAAGTATGCCTGTGCAAATATTTAGCTTTCTGAAGAAAATGAGTTCTACCCTTCATTTTTAAAAACATAAATATCTTGCAATAAGAACTCCCACTCTCATCTGTGACGACCTAGTGGCAATCAGTATCTCTTCTGATACCACATAAACAGCTGGTGAGATTCCTTTAAAATTGTTCAAGTGGATTTAGGATTCAGCATGATCAAGCAATCACTTCTTTTTCGACTGACACTTTACCTTCCCCCAAAATTTTGAAAGGGCTGAAGACTAAGCAAAATTGATGGTCATGCTGGTGTTGCAGGCATTCAGATCAAGCACGCTAAATCATGACATCTTACAGCTAAAAAGCTGCGATCTTCTTTTCTCTTTCTGAGAAGGTATTTGGAATAATACATATCTGGAATTATTTGGCTAAGCATTCTGATCCACCATGTTCTGCAGGGCTCAGGGCCTTTTTAATGGTAAATAAGCAGTTTTCTTGCTTCTTTTCTGTATGGATTGAGTACAGTAAACTATGCCTAAGAAACACGAGTTCAGAATTAATAGGCTTCTTTACGCTACTATGTCTAAGCAAGTTAGTTCTTCTTGAACTAGAAAGACACATTTGTAAACTTTGAAAAGAATTACCACCATAAATAAATTCTATGCTACAAGAACAGGAAAGTGGTTTGTGAAAGCTGGAGTTCCAAAACAGCTGTAATATCCTAGGACACAGGAGCTGGAGCATAGTACAGGTTCACTCACATCTGCCTTCTATTTGCATTCGTTGGACCAGTCATATCAAAGGGGGAAAAAAAACAGCTCTCAAGTACCCAAGGTCTGATGCTACAATGGAATTTTGAAAAAGCATATCAACTCCACTGGCGTGAAAAAAGCTATTGCAACTTAGCTCAAAGAAAAGGGAAGAAATTTATTGGTCAGTCTCCTCCACAGAATGCATCACACAAAATCCTCCAAAATCCTGCATGGAAAAACAGACATTAAGCCTGCTTTGGAAAACTATGAAATTGTTGCTGTATTCTAAATACTCTGCAACATAGCACATTTTCTGTAGGAATATCCCAAGAGCTCTTCCCGTAGTCTATTTGTAAGTGTGCCTTTTGACTCTGGTCATCAAAATATCTTCCACAATCTTTGTTTATCATTTCAGAACAAAGATAACTAAGACAAGGACTCAGACATTATTACCCTCTAGATGACAGTGTTCACTAAGTTCCCATTGCTAAACATAAGCAAATACAGTTCTGGCAAAATACAAAAGAATATGAATTCCTACAGAATTCAACAAGGTTTTCAACTAGTCTACAACCGTCTCTTTCTGAGTTAAGGTGGGTGATGGAAAGAAATAAATTTAATTATCAAAACCTATATTCAGTTTGCTAAGCAGATTACGAGGCTGTTGTACTTATTTGCTAATCTAATACTGAAAGGCATGAAGCAAATGTGGGATCGTACTCAAAATTCCACTTTCAGAACATGAACGAGAACCAAGTCTGCAGGATTCACCTGTGTTGCTGTCACAGCATTACAGCAAACAAAGTATTCCAAATCATTACTACAAGATCCAAAACTATGGAGGTTACTTTGCAAGGACAGTTGAGACTCTCTGCTATAACACTCCACCATCAAGACAGACGCCTAAGGATTCATATTTTACTGCAAAATTAGTTTGTGCAACAAACACAGTTTTACAGTCTTCTTTCGCATCTTAGCTGTCTATTTAACTCAGAGCTTGTCACAGTCCAGATAAGATCTGCTTGATATATAACATGCCGGCATTGCTTTCAATTTCACAAGAGAATTGACATTTGACAAGCCCAGCACCTCTCTAATAAGGTATAACACTGTTCTCTTTCTACTTCTCTGGTCTCGAAGTGCAAACTCTCTGCTGATTCTTCTCTAATAACTGTCTTTCCCACAAAGAGCACAGACTTTGCCAGGCAACGACACACACAATGCCAACACTAAGCACTAACTTGTTCAATTCCTTTCCTATCAGAGGTACAAATCCAGTTCATACTTAAATTTCTTGCCCGATTTAGCCTGAGTTCCTCCATTCCATATGTGGTCATCCTCTTCATAGAAGAAAAAAATATCAAGTTTCACATCATGTTCTCCCTGGAAAGAGAGTTCCAAGCTGTCTTCTACCTGCAAGACAAAAATACACACTGTATATATTCATAAAAATAAAAGGCTACTAATGTCAGCATGTTTCAGAAAACAAGTTTATCTTGGTGAGGTATGGAGAGTGACTCCTATCCTAACTGAAGAAAATACACTGCACTCTGCAATTTCTTTCTTTTTTTTTTTTTTTTTTTCTGGATGCCTTGCGAACATTGGAAATTTTCTGCACCTCAGTAGGACTACCTTCTCTTTCCTCCCTTTAGCCCCAAAAACTTCAACAGGATTTCCTTGTCCTCTGCCACTAGCAAAATCATCTCTGGGAATAAACATGTGATTAGTAGGTGTCTTCATCTGACACACTTCCTCTGTGATAAAACATGCACTAGCCATCAGTAATGATATGTCACTTGAACTGTGGCTGAACCTTCATGTTCCTGTAATTCTGCTTTTCTTTACTGTTCTGCAGCCTACACTCTGAAAAAGCTAGAAAAAATGCACATAAGCTAGTAATGAACAAGCCCAGTGCCCACCTCAAGCCAGCTTTTGCTTTCTGCTAGTTTTACATACAGGGCTACAGATAATCTCAGAGCCATCACCAAGCCTCCTGTATGATGAGGCCCATCCAATCTCAAAAACTAAATTCTACCTTTATTCTTAAGTTTCGCTGACACCACTGACACAATTAGACCCCTTTAAAACTCACTAAAAACTTTTTCTGAGGGGGAATTCAAATTCCCTAAACAGGGCTGAAGCTATGCAGAAGGGTATTTTCTCACACACCGTAAAAGAGAACACAGAAAAACCAACAAGATAATATGTTTAGTTAAAACCTTAACAAGTAAATGTCTGCTGAGGAGATTTCAGATACCCACTTCTACGTAAGTGATCTGCAGCTGTACTCAAACTTACGAGCCTACAGAAAGACACACGAAGCAAATTGTTCATTATCTACATACCTTGCCAAATTTGTGCTTCAGTGGTAACCCTGCTTTCTGAAAGGCTGGAATGATATCTGCTTTGTAGTCCCTTATAAAGATTCCCAAATCCACATCTTTGCTGTGAGGAATAACATTGCACTGTCTATACCAGCCTGAGGGGGGAAAAACAAAACAAAACAAAACAAAACAAACTAGTTAATTCAGGAACATGAGAAAAATATCACTAGAACAAAAGCAACATAAAAATGAACTGCCATAAGGCCACCAGGCAGAGATCTTTGAACGAGACCATAAACAAGACCTCTGCCTTTCTCTGGTATGAAATGAACCACATTGAAGATGACAAATATTACTGCCAGCTCTTCCTTCCAGAAAGCCAAGAATAAGAGAGAAAACAGTAACTCTCTCTTTCAAAGATAAAATATCTTCAGTTTTCGAAGGTAAATGTCTTTAAAGAAAAAAGATTCTTTATCTGGGCCCAAAACTAAACAGCAATGAACAGTTACAGGGCTACAGCTGTGCTTTTAATTTGAAACTATTATTTCAAATAGTATCTGAGATGTTAATCATCTTTCAATCACCATTGCAAAACAATAAGACAAGACATGGGACATCCTTTTGTCTGTTTCATTAAAGCAGCTTTTATTAACTGTTCATTCAGAAAATTATATTCCCTAGGACTAAAGAAATACCAGTCAAATGTGCATCCACACACACGAGTTTTCACAACCTACTTCAATAATAAAATAATCTTCATCAGTAATAAGATACTACTTCCATCTTCCACAGAATTGAAACCTTGCAGTACCTACTCTAATAGGCTGACATTTTCTTAAAAGAATGTGGTTTTAAATAAATAAATAAATAAATAAATAAATGTAAACTATATTGTAAGAATCAGCTATAAGCACCAAATTGCACGGGGAAAAAAAAAAAAAATCAGGTGAGAGTCTGCATGGATGGTAGAAATATGCACCCATCACTGTGTTTTCCAACTAGCCTTTCAGTAAACTCCAAGACATATAATTTAGGGAACTGCTGATTACTTTCTAAGCAGTGATCAACACAACAGATAATTGCTAGCAACATTAAATGCCTCACCGGAAATTTGCTTAGCACCTCCAAGGCTCTGGTCTCTAAAGAAAAAAGCATTTTTTCAGGAGCAAAAAGCCTATTTCAATAGAGCTCATGCCACATGTTACCCTTCAACCTGGTACATTTATCTTCAGCTGACATCACAAGCAATAGCAGATGAAATGTTTAAAATTTCAGATGAGATTTAAAAATGCAACATAACACAAATGTTTTACCAAGGCATGTTCCACTGCTCAGCCAGAACTTTACTCCTAACTTATTCAGTGTCAGGGCAGCCAGATGGAGCAAGGATTTTGCTTTCTTTCTGAACTCCACTGCATCAAGAGAGGCATCGTCAGGATACAGCTGGAAGGCAAAGGAAGAATAAGTAAGCTACTGTCAGAAAGCAAACTTGTCCTTTCATTTTTCAGTGTCCTAAGAAAAAAATGGCCTTTAGAAATTTACCTAATTTACCTAACACTGTTTTCACATATACAGCTCAGTTTGAGAACATGCACTAGAATGACAAGTTAAAATTTGATCTCTGAAACATCAACCTTCAGTTTTTCCAAACTAGCAGAATGTAAAGTCACAGTAAAATAGAACAAGAATATATGTATTAGACAGTGATTCTCAGCACTCGGTAACAACACATAAAAACACTAAGTCAGCACACGCTGAGGTCAACACCCTTCCAGGCAGGGGAAGGCAGGGACAGAACCAGAAGCACTTCCAGCACATGAGTTTATTTGTCGCCACCACGTGTTACAGCTGGATGTTGACAACTTCTGCCACAGAGTTGAAACAATGCGAACAGAAAGTCAAGCCCATCTTCCAGCTACAGCTGTGGCAAGGTCTTCTGTTAATGTAAAGCCAAAACCAACACAGCAGCCTGGGCACACATTACCAAATTAAACACAGGAACTCAGCTTCACGACTGATTTCTTTAAGAGCTCTTGGGCAACAAATGGTTGAAATGAATACTTATTTTCAAAACAGATGCCACCTGCTTATTTCAATATTATAGCTCCAGCAAAGTTCAATATACCTTCTGAGGCACATATTCTCTGCCTGCGGTGATTACTGCCTGGAGGCTTTAGAGCTCAAGTGGAGCATTCTTACAATCTCTGTCCTTTACAGGTGAAGTGACAACACACATGTTCCCTTGGGTATTGTAGCCCTCCTGCTACACATACGGTGAGCTACGGCCTACTAGGCTGAAAAAGGATAGTCTTCCCTTCTCCAAGAAGTCCCTTCCCCAAGACCTCAAATGTCTGAAGAATGGAACCTCTAGTGTCCTCTTTTTATCCCCTTCCACGAAATCAGAGATGGCTCAAATTCTGACTCCATAGTCTTAGCTGTAGTAACTCATGACCACTTTATATCTTGGTCCTTTTCAAGTTAGGACAAAATGCTCCCCATACTGCAGCAGAAAGTGTTCTACTAGCCGCTACAGCAGGTAGCAATGTTCTAAAAATAATGCTTTAAATAGTGGTGGAAACATTAGCTTTCATTGTCAAAAAGCAACGAAATCAAGACATTTCAGAATGAATATACCCGATCAAATAAACCAAGCTAGGAACGTGGAAATGCAGCGCATGATTCAAAAGAATACAAAATGAAATATTACTTAGAACTTTGAAAATTGCTATTCAGAAACAATTTCAACCACAAAGATACACAAGATCTTAGTCTTATTTACATGAAATCTATTTAACAGTAACAATGTGTAAGAACGATGGAGGTGTTGATTACCTCTTTTGAGTTCCGTTACCACTTGCTAAACTCTGTGGATTGAGTTGCGGAGGCTGTTATTTAGCTTTATGCATGCGAACAGTCCCATCTAGGTAAGAAATACTGAACTGGTTGTAGGTTTGGGTCAATCAGTGAAAACATACATTACATCTCAGAGACACTACCTGGATTACCACTAACCTGAAAGAAAGCTCGAGCTTCTCTGTACCTACATTCAAGAAATCTAGAGTGTGACATCTCCTCTAGAAAACTGGATGGATTTTTTGGAATTTGAACTTTTAAGTCATCAATGGAAACAAGCAGAAGTTCTGGCCTGCAGGGTAAGAAAGATGATACATTACCCCATTTAACTCCTTTACAAACCACTTTTTCCTCTAGCTCAGGTTAAAACCTTAATGCATACTACTGTCAGTGATTCCTCTGTCCAAATACACCCAAAACTGATTATAAAAGAGCAACAAGAGCTTCAACAAATTCCCCAGACATGTCAAAATTTTGTTTAAAAAGAAACTCTATGCGTATAAGCCCACAGTTAGTTTGTCAGATCACCAACTCCTTTACGGTCTCATGACTTGCACTGAATTTGTTCAGAGCTGTTGTTCAGTGTATTTGAAAATTCAGGCTATTTATTTAATTATCTAAGTATGGGATGCACTTAAGAACCAAATTTTACCCTGTACTTTGAGGCTATTTGCATTTAAAATGTAAAAACTGTTCAGCCTTCACAATGAATGATATGTGGTATTTAACAGCTTACACAGTCGACTTCAAATGTTTAGGCTCATAACCGGTACAGATTCCATGCTTTAAAAGGAAAAAAGAATGGTGTCAATTTTAAGGAAAAAAAGTTAAACAGATTTATTTTGACCTGTGAATGTTTGGCTGGTTTTCTCTGATTTACGGCATATGCACTTACCGTACAGGAACACTGTTCTCAAAGCCTAGTGGTATGTACTTGGCTTCAAAAATAGTGATAAGATTTGCTACGATCTGTGTTTCCTGAAATAACTGCAGGAAAATGCAGACATTTACAGTAACTTTACCAATGTAATGCAAAGTTTAAGCATAAGACTATGGACAAATAATACCACCAATTTAAACATTTAAGAAAGAAATTAGTCCCCTCAGCATGTTAAGAGCATGGGTTAGAGGCAATGGTTGGCACATGTCTTTGTGGTACAACCGTCACCTGTCTTTATTCATGTTATTTAACATTGATTATTTGGACTGTTACTGAATGGATTTCTCCCCTTTTCATTTAATGTTCCATATCAGTGAATTCTACTTTTGGATTCATATCATTATAGAAAGAACATCAAATATCTATCAGCTAATACTAAATCTCTTGCCACTTCTACTTTACCCCTGTGTTGATAGCACAGATGGCTATCAACAGATTTCAAACTTTTAAATACGTTAATGGTAAACCACTGACTCTAGCAGAAGATCCTCTGGTACATTCAACCTCAGTCATGACTTCTTTGACTTCTCTCATCTTTCTGCCCACTTTGACCTGACTACGCAGCAACTTCCTCTAAAATGTAATTCTTAATTTATGAAAGGTGGGAAGCTCTTGTCTTCAGGTAAACAGAACTGGATATACCTTCATACCTTAAATTACCTGCACTTTGGGGACTGAACTGTACATAAGCTAAGTTTTACAACCTGACCTCAGGAAAGAGAGTAATTTTATATACAGGAGAAAGAAGTTATTTTGGAGGTGCCATTATGGCTTTTTCCCTCCTCTGTTTTGAACCCACTTTTCATATGCTCCAGGGTAGCGACCAAAGTAGAGTTTCCGGAAAGGCACGAACTTTCTGTCCATATGTTGCTTGAGTCTCAGAGGACCATGCCAGAGATAATTACCACTCCTCTCATAGAAGACCACCAGGTGAATGGCATGAGATGCCAGCTTAAATATGTAGTGCAAAGGAATTTCAATCCCAGACAGGTCATCCATCCCATCCAAGCGGGGGTCCTTGTTTATAATCTTGAGCCATTGGAACCCCATTTTCTCAGCAGTTCTAAAAAAGCCCACCTAAAAATGAGAGAGGGAGAGACAGAAAGAGAGAGAAAGAAAGAAGTTAAAGATTAAAGAAATCAAAATTAAATGCTAAATGTTTATTATTAACTGACACTATTCCCTATTTTCATTTTCTAATCAAACTACTCAAAAATTTCTAAGACCCTAAAGATCAGCAGTCACAAGCAATTTCAACCACTGCAGTTCCTTGTCATAAATTTTGTCCCCCTAACTATTCATTAAAACAACAAATAAATGTTGCAAGCCACGTTTGGACTGAGTTTGCTCCTTGCCATCGCACCCTTCTCTGCATCCTCAAACTGTTCTCTAAAGTTATTCTTGTGCTGAACCTCATGTTCCTAAGTCCTTGAATAATGGTACCGCTAATACATATTTATTGTATAGTGTATAATACTAATACATATTTATAGTATATAGTGTACTAATACACTAATAAATATTTGTCTAAATCTCACCAAAGAACAAATGTTGCACTAGATAACAGGGTTTCATATTTCCATAGAGAAACAGAATGAAATTCTGGCTGATAAGAAAAGAACCAATCAGCACCTGAAGGCCCTTTCAATTTCCCCCTGTTGAACTGTTTTATATTATCAATGAGCCACAAAGGAATGGGGACATGGATTTACCTTGGTGTGCTGCCACACAACCTTATTCTCAGTTTCTTTAATTCCTTTACAGCTATGGGTAAAACAACAGCCTGATCAGACCCAGAGTGCCACCACCCTGCACTTGAGTGGTATGCTTTCAGTAAAATAGTCACAGACCATTTTAATGTCTCCTGCTTTTTGGGAAAATAAAAAGAAAAAAGAAAAGAGAA